AAAAGTAACGGTGAAATATTTGACCCTTGAGGTTCACCTGCTTTGATAGATTTGATATTTGAGAGATTATCTTTCATGTGAACCTGAAAAGTTCTATTGGAATGAAAGCTTGAGATGAGAAGAATTAAACCCGGTGGGAAATTGTATCCGATAAGTTTGATAAAAAGGCTTGGGTGCCACATCTTATCAAACGCCTTTTCAATGTCGATAAAAATTCCTGTGACTGTTTCTTTCTTGTTAAATGCTTCACCAATTATTTCGACAATTCTTGTGACTTTGTGTTGTGGAGAATCCTTGCCGAAATCCGGACTGATGCTCCTTAATTAAATTATTATCTTCTGTAAATTTTGTGAGTTTTCCTATTACAAGCTTTTCGAAAAGTTTTCCGAGGGCCGAAAATAGACTTATAGGTCTATAATCTGAGGTTTAGAGCCCTTTTTACTTGGTTTCTTAAGAACGATAATAACAGTGTGCTTTCATTGTTTGTAAAAAACTCCGAAACGTAGGCAAGCGTTAAAGATATAATTAAGTTGAATAATTGCTTTATGTAGGAAACTTTGAAGTGCTTTACTATTGATCTGGTCTAATCTTGCAGCTTTCTTTGGTTTCAATTTCAGAATTAAGTCTTTAATTTTTCTAGGCGTGGTCGGTGGGTTGGGACTATTTGAACTGAGATGTTTTGCTTCGGCTTTTTAAAGCTTTTTAATCTGGTACGAGAACATTCTGGTAAATCGAGGTTTCTAGAAAGCAAAAGAGTAGACTTAAAGTTACGGCTAACTCACAACTGCATTTATTCAATTTACGAGATATATATTTATTAAATGCGCGTGCTCCTGTATTTTTACATTATTCCTTGTATTTATTGTTTGCTGGAATTTCAGTTTGTCTACAGCAGCTTCTGTGGCGACGCCGATATACGAATTCCAGTTCAGATAATTTTAGAAAGTTTTTGGGATGCTGTTAAGGAATTTTGTGTGCCACAAAAGACGAAGGAATTTCTAAATAGGGTAAGTGGATATTTGCTTTTTGTAGTGCTTAAATGTATAACATGTTTTTCCCTTTTTATGTTATTTTATTTTTTGGTTTAAAATGTAGTTTATTGAGATTATGTATTTTTTATTTGCTGTATTGTAAAACTGGGTGCTTCTTTGACTTTTTTAGGTGAAAATATATCGATGTGTACATGGACAAAGTGAAGGGAGTGCGCAATGCAAGTTTGCGCAATTCTTGGATTTGTTTTAGATGAAAATAGGTCGACGTGTACATGGATAAAGTCAAGGGAGTGTGCAATGCAATTTTTGTGCAATTCGGGGATTTTTTTAATATGAAAATAAGTCGATGTGTACATGGACACCGAGTTTGTGCAATTCTTTGCCTTGTTATTTTGACTTTGTGTAGCGGCGATATTTGGCGCAAAATTCGCCGTTCTGCAAGACAAACTCGGTATCCACGTACCGGCGAAAATCGCCAAGTTTCGCCAAGGGGTACCCTCAAATATACTTTTACTCAAATTTATAATCAAAATCACTTTTGCAAGCTATCGAAAAATAACCAAAATATGATTTTTACATAAATATCACTAAACTGTACAAATTACTATTATCCATCGAACAGGGGCGTAGCTAGAGGCAGGGGGACATCTGTCCCCGGGCGCGAGATCCAAGGGGCGCCAAACTGATGTTACGATGTTTTAGAATTAAATGTTTTCCATCCTTGGCAAGCAGTAGGGGACGCGAAATCTTCAGTTCTGCCTGGGCGCTGAAAACCCTAACTACGACTCTGCCATCGAACAATAAATGTTTCTTTTATGCGGAAGTGTCCCTGCATTTCGATTTGTGTGGAACTGTCATGCGTGGAAACACTGTCAAGGAGCTCTGGATGTAAACAAAAAAGACCCCTCTGGAGACAGTAAGTGAAAATGCATGCAAGATCAAAGTACCGTAGGTCAGGGGTCCCCAACCCTTTTGTCCCTAACAGCATATTCTAGAGAATCTGTTGGACGACAGCCAAATTTCGTGTTTTCAAGGTGAATTTATAGTTGGATAGTTGGACATGCACATAAAAAGAGATCGATCGCAATTCACTTTGTGCTTGTATCTGTGTTGGACGCAATTTCTATTTCATTAAAAATGAGAAAAACGTTCACATAGAATTTTATTGGAAACTAAACATTTTTATTGTGATCGCACAGCGGCGGGCACATGTTAAACGATCGGCGGGCGCCATGGTACCCTTGCGCATAGGGTTGGGAACCCCTGCTGTAGATAGTTCAAACACTCTACCTGAAGTGGTCTTTACTAATATCTTTATTATGAACTTTACAACTAGCAATAAAAATGTTGCAAATTTGTTAACTGTAGTCTACTGCTTAATGATACGTTATATAATCCTTAGCCATTTAAAGGCTCCTCAATGATAAAAATCACAGACATCTGAGTTATTAAGTAAACTGCAGCTATGGCTCTTACAGTTCTTGTAAAATTAGATACTTCTATTTAAGCCTCATGGTCGTAGCCTCATGGTCACAGAGCATCATTGATAATTCTGATCACCTTGTTCTCCAGCTGTTGCACAGATAGTCGATTCATTGGCAGCAACCATCCAGTAAAGTGATGTGCATAAAAATACGACATGTTATTCATGGATTGATAATCCTCTTTATTTTAATACTGAGTCATGTTTAATTACAGAAAGAATTTTTGTACTTTCTTTGTCAATCTTGTCTTTGACAGGATACGTCCTTTAAAATGATATATTACCACAAATAATGCCTAGGTCATAACCAGGTATTATTTGTGACTATTATTAGCCTGACATTTTAAATATGTTGAGAATAATATGAGGAGTATGAATGTCTAAAATATTTTTTTTCAAAAAGAACCATTTTTTTCAAGGATATTGACTTGAATTTTCCTGTTTTCACACTATCGTAATAACAATTTAATTCATTTGTCTCACATGCACGACTTACTGATTTAATTAAAATACAGTATAGTCAGGATATATATATAAACAGCAGAGCTTAAATTGCGCCGGATCCCTACGAAGCCGGGCTCCGTTACTTCTTAATTTTTAGAATAAATTATAATTCTAGTTGGAGCGCACCGGAGCCCTAAATAACAAGGCTCCGGTTCTTCTTTTATGGAATTGAACAACAATTTCAGTAGAAATTTGATTTCGAAAATTGTGTATTTAGTAAAAAATTATATTAAAAATTACTTATTAGATTTATTAAAATTAGAGATAAATTTAAAAAAGACAAAAAAGAAAATCTGAAAGGTTTCAGAATTTAAATTACGTGCAAAGGAGCGTTTTTTTAACATTTTGTCTGTTTACTTTAATATCCTGTTCTTTGCATAAAATTCAGTTCAAGATCAATATCGCAAAATAATTTTAAATTGAATATATCTTTAGTATTTCCGATACACAGTCTCGCGCCCTGGAGGTAAAAATGCTTTTCTGTACAACGTTGCCATTGCTCGCTTTGAAATAGTAGAGTTTTTTAATCAAAAATTCGTTAAAGTTTTACAAAATATGAAATCGATAGTGAAACAAATTTCAAATTTGGGCTTTCAGATGCCCATATTCGCAGTAGGATTACGTCATTCAAAATTGGATGGCTCTAGGTACCGTTGTTTTATCACAATGAGAAAAACATAAATACATTTATGTAGATTCTTCATTATTTAATTTCTTCAAATATAATACAGGGAGATAATATTTGGTGGCAAATGTTTGAAAAGTGAAACGGACATTCAGAGTGATTCGACGCAAAATCGCAAAACGAAAACACTAGTTCCTGAAGGACAAAGCCCCTTTGGACTAATAATCTATTATAGTATAATATATTTAGTCTAATAACAAATCATTACATTAACTTATATTTAAAATCACTAAAGAAAAATAAATTTAATATATTTCTTTAATTATTAATCACTTTAATCATTAATTACTTTAATGATTAATGATTTTACTTATTTATTTCTTCGTGTTCCCCTTTTCTGAGGGTCTACGGTAGGGATCCGGTTCTTCTAATTTTAGAAATTAAGCGCTGAGAAACAGTGCATTTCATTGCTCTTGTACAGATGATGAAATGTCCAATAGTTTAATTGATTGTTGAGATGCCAGTTGCAACACCAAATGCTCAACTTATCACATAGCTGATGCATCAGTATGTGCTCATATGTGTCGTAAATAAACCCCTTAACGCATAAGCTTAGTATAAGCAATAAAGAAATTTCAGGAACAAATAATAGGCACTGTCTGTCATTGTCGTGTAATTACCTGCTAAGAATTAAAGTAGAGTAATTTCCTCATGTTCCAGCAATAATTTGCAGAAGATAGGCATGCTTAATTAACAACAGTCATATCTAATATTTCATTATTATTTATTGTATATAATTAATTTAATGAATAACTGAAAAGGAATAAACTTTTTTAATGAAAAAATACACTACTTAATTACTTGCATTAGCAAAAATTTTATTTTTTTATATCCAAGCATAAATTATTTTTTTTAACTAACACCGATTTGTTCATTCAACTTTATTCACTGTAGATACGTTATACAGATACGTAATACAGATTTAATACAAATGCATAATACAAATGCATCCATTCTCAACACATGACACAAAATTTAAAAATCACACGGTACTTCGTGCAAATAAACAGAATTTCACAAAGAGCGAGGCAGCATATGTGCAAACTGAGATGCGCAAGGGAGGATCAGATCACGATCCCAAAAGTTGTCTTCTCTCCGTACACGCTAGTGGAAACTAGCATCTCAGGGACTAGATGCTTGTCTGAAAAGCAAGATTGCTACAGAAGCTACAGAGAATGTATTTTTAAAAAGCGGAAATCGCGAACTAATTTGAGTGCATGACTAGATCTGAAGTGTACCAGTTGGATAGATTTTATATCTGATAAGTAAATACTTGTTTCCTCTTCCTCCAGTTAAGTTGTGAGACACTGTGACAATATAGAGAAGTTATTTAAGAGATCTGGTAAATAGTTTTGATTTTTTAAATGAATTATTGTTATACTGAATGCACTATAAAACTATTGTTTCGAATGTAAACTGTTGGTTCGTGTAAGTTACTTGCTGTGTAGGAACATTAAGTGTATGAGGAATACAAAATTCCCTCTATAAACTAATGTGAATACTTGTATTACTGTAGAAACTTCATCTATGCAACTTATGCATTAAGCGACTTAAGAATAATATAAGAAATTGTGCATACTTGACAATCAGTGAAAACATGTACATAAAAAGCGATTTATTGAAATTATCGTCTTAATGCGTCACATCTCAGAATCGTACTTTGAATTGTCCACCCAGTAAGGAAACCTTGTGCTAGATGTTCTCCATTTCCCAGGGAAAAGCGTAACTAACCATCTGACATACTCCATCCTTAGTATTTTCGTTTTTTAATCATCCTAGACTCTTCAATTCATTGATTTGGACCTTTCACCAGAAACTCACCTTATTCGTCGACTGATGCGGCGATTTAACTTAATATTTTCCTCTCATTTTGTCCACAATTTTCATTTTGTTTTACGGATGGTCTTGACCAGATACAGAGTAAAAGGAAGCACTCCTTTCTGAAACTATAATTCACTATATGTTGTTAATTGTAAAAGTTAGCGATGATGAAATGTAACTTAAAACTTTATCTGCATGGGAGGGATTTCTTATGTATGTATTATATTCAACAAGAAATTTGTTTGAAAATATTATTTAATGTTTTGTGCATGCATATTCGCTTCACAGAGAAAAAAAGTATCGAAATATAACCAGTAATTTATGGAAAGCCTTCAGTTAAATAATTACAAATCTCTTCACACAATTGAGATATTTTGTGTATGTGAATTAAGTCATTAGGAATAATCTGATCATTAAAAAAAAAAGTAAATAAAAAAAATGAGCCCATGCTTATCCATACAGAAGAGAATCCTGATATGATTGAGGTATGTATTTGGAAGACAGGGACATTCAAAAAAGCACATGCTCATTTACAGTGAAAATAAACTTCATTTATGTGACATGTGTAAAAAGGCATTTCAAACAAAGAAACACTTGAGAAGGCACATGCTTATACATAAAGAAAAGAAACCTTACTGATGTGAAGTATGTAAAAAGGCATTTTGTATAAACAGATCTAAAACAGCACATGCAAATCCACACAGAAGATAAACCTCATATATGCAGCGTGTGTAATAAGGCTTTTAGATTGAAGCCTAGTTTAAAGAACCACAGGACTTGTTCATACGGTAGAGAATCATCTCTGCAAGATATGCAAAAAGTCTTTTCCCGGAGAGCGTAGCTTAAAAAATCGCATCCTTATGCATACAGGAGAAAAATCTTATACATGTGAACTGTGTAAAAAATTGTTTGAACATGAGTGCAACTTAAAGAACCATATGCTTAGTCATACAGAGGAGAAACCTCATGTATGTGAGATTTGTAATAAGTCATTAGGACAAAAGAATAGTTTAAAAAGACACATGCTTATCCACACAGGAGAAAAACCTTATGCATGTGAGTTATGTGACAAGTCATTTAGACAGAAGGATAGTTTAAAGAGCCATGCACTTGGGCATACAGGAGACAAACCTCATGTATGTGATATATGTAAAAAATCATTTGTAAGAAAGGGCAAATTGATCGCTCACGTGCTTCGTATCCATTCAAAGATTACTTGTAAGATATGCAACGAGTCATTTGAAGGAAAAAGTGCCTTAAAGAAGCATGGACTTGTCCATGCAGAGGAGAAACCTTATGCATGTGAGTTATGTGGCAAGTCATTTAGACAGAAGGATAGTTTAAAGAGGCATGCACTTCGGCATACAGGAGACAAACCTCATGTATGTGATATGTGTAAAAAATCATTTGTCAGAAGGGCCGAACTGAGGAGGCACGTACATCGTATCCATTCAAAGATTGCTTGTAAGATATGTAACGAGTCATTTGAAGGAAAGAGTGCCTTAAAGGAGCATCGACTTGTCCATGACAAAGAGAAACCTTATGTGTGCGAGGTATGCATCCGTCCATTTCGATTAAAGGCTGAATTAAAGAAGCACATAGTTATCCATACAGCGGAGAGACCTCATGGGTGTGAAGTATGTAAAAAGGCATTTCGGAGAAAGAACCATTTAGAGAAGCACATGCTTATCCATATAGGAGAAAAATCTCATGTGTGTGAGGTATGTAACAAGTCATTTATACTAAAGAGTAGTTTAAAAAATCATATGATTACACATTCGGTAGAGAAACCTTATGCATGTCAAATATGTAACAAGCCATTTGGACAAAAGGGTAACTTAAAAATTCACATGCGTACCCATACAGGAGAAAAACCTTTCACATGTGAAGTATGTAATAAATCATTTACTCGAAAGAATAATTTACAAGACCATATTCTTACACATGTAGCTGAGAAACCACATATATGTGAGGTATGTAATGTATCATTTAGAGCAAAGAATGATTTAAAGATGCACATGCTTATCCACACAGGAGAGAAACTTCATGTACATGACATATGGCAGAAGTCATTTGGAGAAAAGGGTGACTATAGGAATCCTGTATGCATCATCATAGAAAAGAAACCTCATGTGTGTGAAATATGTAACAAGTCATTTAAAGTGAAGGATGTTTTGAGGAAACACATGATTATCCATACTGCAGAAAAATCTCATACATGTGAAGTGTGTAAAAAATCATTTCAAACAAAGCATGGCTTAGTGAAACACATGCGTATCCATACAGGAGAAAAGCCTAATGTGTGTGGAATATGTTACAAGTCATTTGGACAAAAGAGTAACCTGAAGAACCACATGCTTATCCACATAGCAGAGTAACATAGTTTATGAGTTATGTAGGCAGTTATTTGTTGGAGAAAAGCTGATTTAAAAGAATACATGGGCAATAAATTGGAAGAAAATTCAGTACCTTCTGATTATCTACATTCCCTCAAATGGTTGCCAGTTCATTGCTGGCTTTGTGAATTGGTGAAAACATTTGTTTGGCTATCTTTATGGTTCATAGCTATTGTTCTGTTCACAAATAATAATAAACAAAAGCATTTTTGGTTAATCTTTGGATTATGGTAACTTGGCGATTTTTTTGCGAAAATTTGGCAACCAACCCTGCTACAGCAACCTGCTAGTTTTGTTTTGGACGCCATTTTGTTTGCACGAAGTAAAGGTTTTTTTTTTTTACTCAACATTTTTTCCAACAATCTGCTAGCCGAATTACGCTTATACTAGAACTTTTATGGAACAAAAATGCTTAATCATGACGAAGATTAGGTGCGAAATTGGGAGAAAGTGCAGAATCGTAAACTGCTTGCCGTGTTTTTAAGAATTGCACATACACGGTATCATCCATGTACATGTCGACCTATTTTCACTTAAAAAAAAATCCCAGAATTGCACAAAAATGGCATTGCGCACACTCTTGACTTTATCCATGTACACTACTAAAGTCCTAGCTAGTAACTTTTATCGCCTTACCAAAATGTTGCCAAACTACCTGTTACCATATTCCAAAGATTAGGAGCATTTTTATTAGAAATAGAAAATTTTATTAGAATAAAAAAGGCAGTGTTTGGCAGTTAAAGCGTGTAAATCCACATTTAGTGAAATACATACCTAGTATATGTATGTTTTGGTTGACTATTGTTGTGTACATGCTCATAAACTTTACCAAAAAATTGTAGAAATTCCACTGAATGTTAAAACAGCAGATCAGATTATAAGGAAATAATGATCATTCTTTTGAAGGAATTGTATAGGTAAAATTTTAAAATATCATGGATATTTATTATGTGGAATAAAATCTATTGGTTAATAGGTAAGCTTATTTTACTGAGACAAACTGAAATAAATACATTTTCATGAAATGTATTGTCAGATTAAGACTTTTAGAGGCTCTAAGCATTTAAAAGATTTCCTCCACATAATACATTTACATTTAGATGTCACCACATAATACTTTTACAATATAATACCTGTTTTTTTTCAATTTCTTCTCACTCTCACTTTTGGCTTAGCCGCATCATACATTCCATAGTAAAAACCAGTAATGAGAATGTTTTGTGACATTCTCGTGAGTCTTCTTCCCCTTTCCGTGAGTCTCTAAGGACCTTTTTGTGAAACTCTGTCCTTGATGTCCTAAGCACATACTTAATGGAGGTACTTAAGTACAAGTAATGGTTAATCCAGTTCTGATTTCATAATGCTTGTGTGTGTAAGAAAACATTTATATTAAAGCATGGCCTAAGTTTACGTATAAACTCATAATAATGGTAAATAAATAATATATTTTTAAATGTACATATGTAACTATGGAGAGAAGGATTGATATTAAAATGTTAAAAACGTTTGTCAAGAAATTATATCCATTGTGCCATTTGATAAAAATCAGTGTGAGCATAACTGAACTTTTTTTTTTTTTTTGGTCAGGTAGTGATAATTTTTTGATAAAATTTTAATTTAATGTTCAGCAGAATTAGGTTAATATTTTTTTACACTTCTTTTGTTTACATAAAGATTTTCTTAAATCATGAAAGGAAATGTGTCTAAAAATGTTATACTTTTCCATTAATGGAGTAGCAATTGTTGTCAAATTTAAATGTTATCACAAAATATGTAAACATTAAAATGTAATTTAATCTTGTGGTTATTCTTTCATTGTGAATAATTCCTTTTTAAATATTGAATTTTCATCATTTGGTAATTTTCATATCACAAAATCTATATCGCTTCTTTCATCGAAAGTCAGCAGTAGTCAAAATCCTGCATTAAAATTGTATCTTGAATCAAAAAATGATGAGTCGTGATGTATGCTCTATAACAGGGGTGGCCAAAGTGCGGCTCGCGAGCCTGATATGGCTCTCGCAGGCAATTTGTACGTCTCATACATATAAAACATATGTATGAAATATGATAAACTAAAATTATTCAGTGTCCAAAAGGAAGTAATTAATTAGTTTAGACTTTTTTTACAAAGTTATCAGGGATTTCTTTTTATTTAAAACCTCCTCCACTACTTGTATAATGATATAAATAGGAACTTGTGGCTTTTAGAAAATCTAGATGCGGCTGTCGAACATTTCTGAATTCAAACGTGTGGCTCTTACTGACACAATTTGGTCAACTCTGCTCTATAAGTTGTTATAATTGAGATACTTGTGTGCATTTTGATTATTGCTTTGTTAAAATGCTAAAAATGTTTATTAATGAACTGTGGTTACTTTCTGATTATCTTTATCTCTACCAAAAAGCCACTATATTGTCAAAATGCATTTATGTGGCAGTCTAGGCATGTACATAGCATCTTCCCCTCACATGGCTTTTCAGCTAGACATTTTTGCCAGTGGACTGAAGATTATGATCCCTCCTATGGGAATTTCTGTATTTTAGCATAGTGGTGACCTGCCTACTGCATTTTTTTGACATCTTTGGCAAATCAGATTTAGCTGTCTATTAAGTTATGCATTTAGTGTTCTGTAACATAAAATGTTTTGTGGCTCACTCAAAGGTACCATGCAGCTCTTTTTACATCTCATAATGAGATTTTGGAGCTGGCTATTTCCCAAAACATATCACTGTGTGAATAAACATTAAAAAAAAAAAAAAAAAAAAAAAAAAAATTAAATGTCTTGAAAGAATTAATAAATAAATAAAAGGTGACACTGTATGCATTGTTGAAATGGATGTAATGATACTCAAACATTTCTCTCCAAGGTCACGAATGAGTTAGCTACTTTTTGGCAGATGTGCAGATAATCAGGAAGTGCCAAATGCTGTGACGTAATCCTAAACTTATCACTTGCAATCAATATGTATTCATCTATGAGCAATGTTGAGCTGTTTGTGAATTTGCTAAATGATATTTGGTATTTACAACATTGAAAGTTTTAATCTTCCAAGATTTATAACAAATTCAGTGATCAGTTATTATTGTAGTTCAAGAAATGTTTAAATCTTTCTAAAATCAAAGAAATACTCTTAAATATTATGTGAAACAGTTTTAAGAAAAAATTAATTAGATTAACCATTTAAAAAAAAAATACTTTTGGCAGTTGTACATCCATTTTCAGTCTGACCCTGCTCTTTAAATATTTTTGTGTTCCCATTATACAGTCAAAAGTCGTTAATTCGGACACCCATAATCCGGACCTCAAAGCTACAAACTTTCTGCGCGTGCGTCGCGTTCACACATGCGCACAGGCGTTTACGAGAGCGCGTAAGACTTTTACGGCTGCTAATATGTTTGTGCGCATGCGCGTTTAATGTGTAACGGAGGTATAAGCTGAGCTAAAATTATCTAATTCAGTTAATGTTGCAGATTGCGTTGTTCCTTAATCTTCGAATTGGATCCGGCTTATTATTTTTTTGCAGACTGTTAGAGCAATTTCATAAAAGTAAGCTTGAACTTTCGATTATGTCAAATAGAATTTCCGATATATATTTATTAATATGTAATTTGTATCTACAAAGCGAAAGTATGTTTTGAAATCCGAAATCTGTTTATCAATTTCACTCTGCGGATTGGAAGTTGATCTGTCAGCACTATCCTTATCTTCAGGACAGATGTTTTTATTTTATTTGGCTTATAATTCCTTACTAAGTGTAGTATTTCATCTCGATGTACTCCGTCTTTGATATGGTTTAAATCAAGTTCCTCGTCATTATAATTTGCTTCCGATAGTGAAGAAAGTGACCCAGAGGTTATTGAAAAACGAAAACATTTCGATTGACAAGTAGTTGGTATTTCGGCACAGCAATTAGGACTTGAACAGCGGAACTTTGTAACTGAACAAGAAATTATGTCTATTTATAGAATTAAAAGAGAAAGTATTTGCACAAAATTAAAAAGCAATATTATATACAACTATAAATAAAAATAAAAACTTACAGGGAAAGAAATGTTTAATAAAGTAAACAAATAAATATTGAGGTTTTTTTTTTGTAAATTTTGATACCCTTTAGATCATAATTGCTTCTTTATTTCATAAATTATGGTTTCATATTTTTAATTTTATAATTTCTGCATGCCATCTTACCAGATTTAAACTGATGATCTATAATCCAGAAAAATCGATAATCCGGAATTGCCGAAGTCTCGACGAGTCCGGATTAACGACTTTTGACTGTAGTATTAATGTTATGCATCTCTCCCAACTTATGTTTTGATAAAATTTCATCTGCTGCTTTCAAAGAAAAAAAATTCAGTTTGCGGAAGTCTTCATACTACCCATGCAGGTAACAGAATCACTGAATGCAGTGCTCCGCAACCTTTTCTCACCTGCGATGCACAAAAAATCTTTGTGGAATTTCATGGCACACCAAAAGCTAATGTATATATGTATTGATTTATACACAAAATTTACAATAAATTTTTGTTTTTAATTTGAAAAATATACAATTATAAAACCATAACATTTTTATTATATCATCATATAATTATCAATGTGATACTGCGCTTGCTTCAATGAACACAAAAAGTTTAATATTCGGCTCTATATCTGAAACACGAAGTTTATGGTCAAGATCTTAAGCATGACCCGCTTATCATTTTTAATAATAATAGATTTGAAAAACTTTGCTCAATAATAGGTGTAGAAATGGAAGTAATGTTAAAATTGCTTTTTCAGAAATAGAAGATATTCTTTTTTTAAAAAAATTAAAAAAAAAAAAATTTCAATTTTATTGGTTTATTTCAAATTAAAAAAAAAACAGTTTTAGAGCTATTATTTTTAATTAAATGGTCTGAAAACCAATAATTTCGGTTAAATTTATGTTTAAAAAAAGTTATATTTTTGAGTTACGAGTTATCAGGAAGTGCCGAAAAAATTCAAATGCTGACATACTTACAATCACACACACAACCACACACAGTGAATATATAAAAACATTTAAAATAGACATTATAAGGAAAAAAAATTGTCATTGTGTATCAATACATATAAAAAATTGCAAAATGTCAAATAATGTATTTGATTGCGGCACACCTATATCCTACTCATGGCACACCAGTGTGCCACTGCACACCGGTTGCGGAGCACTGACTTAATGAACCCAATTAAAAAGAAATGAGATATTTACTTTCTTTTTTAATAAAGTGTATATTTCAGATTCTGGAAACAACACAATGCACATAATAATTCACAAACTTATT